ACAATACTAACAATTGTTTATGAAGTGAAATGAACACACGATGATTGATTTGTACGTTGGAAATAAAAGATTTATTTCACTGTAGATGTACAAACAACTCATCAATCTCAACTTTTCTAATCTACTGGGGTATTGGGATAGATGTCTTCTTCTTACATTGATTTACTATTTTTTTTTTCATCTACAAGAGTTCGTTCCCTATTTTGAATATATTACTTCAATTGATAGACTTTTTTCCATCATAATCAGTTAGTCAGTTGCAACGTAGAACGTCGTACGTACGTACATAAGTTCATGTTGCCGTACCACATTAGCACAGAGACGCAAATGTCAAATCGAATCACATAGTGATAAAGATAGTAGAGGTATTAATGGTAATGAGGAAGACTAGGATTTGAAGATATTATTCAAGAAGTATGATTCAGTGAGAAAAGGTTAGAAAGACAAAGGTAGAGGTGCTGACGAATCCAGAAGATTAGGATTTGAGAGAGCTCAAAGAATGGATGCACTTGCGCCATTGCAAACGATTTTGAGCCATGTCGTTCAAGGTCTCTAACCATTGGTGACTTTCGTCTCGCGGACCCCAACCAGTTAGCCTGCATCTACCAACATGACTCAGTCCACTAGTCCGTGACTTCATGGATTTCTGCCATGTTTTGGTCTGGCCTTCATAATCAACAAAAAACTAGTCTCCACTGCAGACAATCTACAATTTTATCAACCTGTGTACTTTAGGCTATGCTGATTGAAATGGAAAGCTTAATCCCTGATATGGTAAACACCCTTGAAATGGTTTGTTTAGAAAGAAAAAGATTACTCGAAGGAGCATTAGATTAAAATTTCGGAGAAAGACAATTGAATATTTCAAACTGTAAAATGCAGCGATCCAATTCAGAACTATGGACTTATTTGATATACGGCTCTAGAAGCGATTCTTTTGAACTGCAATTTCATAATTCATGATTTGATAACTACCTTTCATTAAACATTCAGATGTTATTTCCATCAGTTGAGGCTACCCGATTTCGATTAAAAAAAAATTTACCGTCTTATTAACAAACCTTTCGATTCATGTATGAAAACAGTCTACGAAATCGTTAACCCTAAAAGAGGAATACTTTACCTAGTCTATTCCCAAACTGTATGCTTCACTGAAACCTTGGCTATGAAACTTAAGCATATATTTAATCATACCAGGTGAGGTCGATTGATGAAAAATGTTGGTTTCATTGAAATCTGATGGCTTTTGTGACACTTTGAATTTATCCGTCACAACTGCATAAAACTTCGAGAGGTATATTTTTTAACGTTTGCTCAATTTTCCTAGAAAAAAGTGAAGTGATCAATAATTATTCCAATATTATTCTCACTAACTGATCTTCTGAATAGAGAGATAGCTACAACAGTTCGTTAAAAAGTAGACCATTTAAAATCTAACTTTATTGACCTGATGGTCGAGGATACATAACACTTATCTCAACCAGCGCAACTGGTGAAGATTAGACAATTCATTAGTTGATTTGCCGTCCTCGCCTAGTACCCGTTTCCTAATACAATCAGTGCTTACTCGGTGGTCCCAAAATACACGAGCACTGCTTCGAAGACATTTATGATCGAAGACTATTAGCCTACGAATACCCTCTACTCTTAGTGGTCATGTTTCACACCCGTATTGTAGGACTGAACGAACTGCCGCACATTAGACTCGTCCTTTGTTTAGTAGACGGATGTCTCACCTACACCATAAATGACGCAGGTTGACAAGTGCCAATCGAACCTTTAGTATCCGTTCCGAGAATCCGTCACACACCAGGCCATCAGCACTGACGAGACTCTGAAGATATGTGGATCTGGCAACACATTCAACTGCTTCACTCCCAATCACCAGGTCAGGTGCAGACACAAGACAATTCTGAAGCAACATTTCGCATTTCGAGGGGGAGAATCGCATCCTGAACATACTTGCATTGTTCTTGTCAGAGGAATCAGCATTTTGTTAGCGTCTTCACCAAATAGAAACAAGTCATCGGAATATTCTAAGTCAAGAAGTGAGTCTCCTGATAGAAACTCAACCTCTGAAAAGGTAGATGATGGAGTCGTCTCTAAAAGCATGTCGATGACAAAGATGAAGAAGAATGAACAGAGAAGACAGCCGTAACGAACGCCACTTGAAGTAATCAACTATGATGGCAGTTCGCCATAAGCTCTCACTCAACCAATAGTGTTCGAGTAGAGAGCTTGTATAAGGTTAATGTACTTCTTTGACAGACACTGCCACAGAACCTCACGATCAACAAAGTCTACTATTGTGATACGTCTGAATGTAAGTCTGTGCTCTCGTTCCTGACGAAGTGTCGATGTATGGTCCATACAGACAAATCCAGGTCTGAAAACAACCTGGTTTTGTGATTCTGCTCTTAACAAGTTTTAGTTAGGCATCGAAGTATTATCGAGGCTAACATTTTCGAAACTAAATTAGTCAAACTGATTCCTCTGTGATAGTCACAAGAGGACTTTAGTCCCTTCAGTAATTGAGACCAGTCAGATGGTATTACGTACATTTCCCAGATTCTACTTAAGATCTCAGTCAATCTAGCTGTTAAGATTAGACCACCATCCTTAGAAATCTTAGGGGTTAACCCATCGGGATCTGCAGCTTTCCATCGCTTTAAATAACCTATAGCCTTTTCAACCTGATTAAAAGTCGGAGGGCTTACACCAATTCACCATTCAGGTTGACCGGAGATTATGGGTAACCAAAGTGTAGCTTGGGGTCACTTGAACGGCTCATCAGTGTTCTGCCCATAGACCCAGTCTCCTGGATTGAGAATGAATAATAGTCCCACATTTTTATGAGATAGTCTCATTAACAGCTAGTTTTCTAGTACCAGTTTCCTTGATAAGTCTAAACAGTCGTCTACTGTTGCCTATCGCCGCTGTCTTTTCCATCTTTTTTGCTATCGCTACCCACCACTGCTTGCAATCGTTGCGTTGGCTTCTTATCAGCGTTTAAGCTACCTTCGCTCCTCATCTTGTTCAGAGCCAAACGAGACGGAGTTCCGAGCATTTATCAGTTCAATAGATGCTACTGAAATCCACTGCTCTTCCCTGGCCTTTAGGTTTAACTTACTGGCAGATATCACTGCTGAATATCATTCCAAGCTGCCTTGAGGTGGGAATCATTTACATGGCTTCCTAACTGTTTTTCAAGTTGCCCTCGAAATATATATCGGCTTTCTTTATTGTTAAGTACAACACTGTGAGAACTACTTGCCGTATCTTTCTTACGTCCAGTAGGCCACAGACAAATAGATGCTCGTACTACCTGAATCTAAACGTGTGCTCCAGGAAGAGCAGTAGTCTTTTATTGGACCTCCCGATCGGTTGCTGGTCGCAGTATGACCTAGTTGGGTCCAGCGTTGAGTCGATTTCGGGGATTGTCATCTCAAAAGATGTTGTTATTTACGTTTAAAGTTGCTATTTGCCAGAAACAGACGGTTATCAAAGCATAGCTGCAACAGACGGTGACCATTATCTGTTCGATGAATTGCAACATCATAAGATTCACCTAGATGTCTTTCGGTTTCGCTTAATCTACTTACTTGAGCATTAAAGTCACTAGCCACCATGTCAGAGCACTCAACTTTTTGAAATGAGGTTGGAAAGCTTTCCATAAAATTAATCGTTTACCCTATCTGAGCTGCAGTCAGTGGGCGCGTAGACAGACAACGAAGAGGCAACGGCAAGTGTCCCTTTTTCCCAAGTCTTTACTGTCCCGTTTAGTTGGACAGAGAACAGGCGGCTGTTTACTGGAATCCAGGCTAAGGGAGCTATTTCTGATATAGAACTCAATGTTATAACTACATCGGCAAAGCCATGAGTAACAGCAGTGGGGCTTCCGCATATACGACTGTTCTTTATGTTACCAAGGTCAAGTCAAATAAATCACTGTACTCGGATCCTCTTTGCGTGTTTCGGAGACGCAGCATACGTCGATGGTTTAATATTCTGAAGTCCTGGATAAGGAAGCCTGTCATCATATTTAGTACAAAATTCAAACATTAAAAGCTCAAACACGTAGTTTAGAGCATGTTTTCAAAAGATCAGGAATAACGTTTCGTGTACTCGAACCGTTAGCGGCGCGAGGTGATAAAGCTATACGAGAAGGGTTAGTAGTGGAGAAAAGAGAGTTATTAAGAGGTGGAGTAAGGATTTGATTGTGAGCAAGTTGATCTCGTGTACTGTTAGGTGTATGAGGGCGAATGTCATTTCCCGGTTTCCCACACCGTGGAAGGGTATTTACTGAGGAGCCTGTAAAGGAAGTTGGATTAGCGTTGGTCATAGTGACCTGAGAACGTGATCACAGAGCTCAAGTGATAACTGCTTTAGGCCGGTCACGTATGGCCTTTTTATAGGAAGTTTTTTAAGTGTTAGCTCCGCTCTTGTTTGAAAGGCCTGACCGCTGGAGAAAGAAATCCGTGGGGTGAGGTGAAGTGTGAGTCTTTGAGTCGACCTTTTCTAACCCCTTCCTTCCGTTGTGAGAAGGCAGCATCGCTACAGATGCTGGTTGCCTAAGGGAAACAACTCATTGCGGCCAGCCCCTTCTTAAAATAAAGCATTTCTCTTAACTAGTGCCATCGATGACCATTAGGAAACAACTCTTAGGTGTAATGGTTAGCAAGAAAATGGCTTTTAATTTTTTTTATATGGCGATATCATTTTATTGTGCAATACCATACAATCTACTAACACGGGATATAAAGGTAGTTGGCTAATTAAAAACCAAATCCCCTGCATTTGAATTCAGTATTCAAGTAGTGTCTGTTATTCGGAGAGCTTAATAACGACAACCAAAATAGTGTTCCCACTAAAGGTTTTTAATGCTTTCTAGGACGACAATTACTTCCCCGTCAAAATGATGCGAAACGGAAATGATATAACGACGATAACGATATCACGGACAAATTTCCCTATGGGATGTAAGAAACACTAAGTACACACACAAGTTTAACATTGGATTTGTTAATTCACATAGGAACAAAACATTAAACTGAATATACATTTTTTCTTCATATGGAATAATATAGACAAATTTATGTACAAAGTTCAACCCATTTACCGTCATCTGAAAGTTTCATAGACTGACTTTTATTAACTTTATTCATAACTTTATTTTTCACTTCATCTTTCGTAAGATTAACTTCATTTGGATCATTTGAGTTCATAAAATGTGACGAGACCTACATGCAAATCAATAAAGTTATTGGTGTTAAATTCATGCTGTTAGAGGAACTGCATTTAGGAAGTAATGAGAAAAAGATTATTATTATTATTATTATTATTATTATTATTATTATATTCTGAGGATAAATCTACCGAATCTACACTGGTCTGTGAGAGTGATAACTTCAATTGAGTGTTTGGATATAAAGGAATAATAAAACAACTGGATATTTCGAGTAAAATCTACAGCAACTCATTCAGAAAGAAATATGTAGCAAGAAGTCAGTCATAATCAACGTAGTCTGGTATGGACGTTCAGTAGTAGACATTAGGCGTGACTTATCATCTGAAGGTGAAACTGTTTTATTTGATCATCAAAATGCTTGTTAATAAACCCTTCAATCTTTTTAGGCATTACTCAATCATATTTAAATAAAAAATCTTATGCATCCTGAAACACTCATGTGGGCTGGAAATGTGTAGTGCCTACAAAAAGTTGTTGTCCAATCAGATATACCGTATGACATGGACGCCACTACGTGTTTTAACGCCCTACTTTAAGTGATATGGCTCAGAGTATTAGATACATTTATTTTGTTTTTTCATATACTGACTCAAGCATTATTTCATGCAGTTAGTGTTTTGAAATGTATTTTTCGAAATTAGTTTTCCAATACGATTGTTAATATTACTTTCACTCCTGTTTTTAAATTTCCTGTTTACTAATGGGTAACACAACATATATTTAATAAAGGCACTGAAAAGTGAGACAGTATTTGTGGTGTAGGGGATTTTAGGTTTTCCCGTCTGTCAATGACGTCACTGAGTTGAGTCAAGATATGATTTTGAGAGACAACAACATTATGCAATTAAAACAAGATCACAATTATAATAGGACCCGTAAACTGTTGACTCGAAAAAATGCACAGAGCAATGAACGACCGTGCATACAACAAAGAATGAATACTAACAGCTTTTATTGATTGGGGTGATAGAAATGTTGTGGCTTCAGACAACATACATTGCTTTGTGCTCAGGACTTTTTCGAAACATTGACCAGCGATTAAAATGTAAAGTAGGCAACTAACTATATCCAAAGTAACAGAAATCTACTGGTGATGTACATGTTAGCATTTATCTGATTCCAATTTCACGACATTCTACGTATGTGATCTAGAAACAGGGATAACGAAAGCACATGTCATATTTTAAAATGATTTGATTTTTCCAGACATATTAATAAATTAAAACAGCCACTCGTCTACATGAAGCCCAACAGAACTATCTTACTCTTTTCACAAGCTTTTTCAGAGAAATTCGTCCACCAGCATCGTTTATTGTAGTGATCAGCAACCGTTTTATACTTTTGGAACAGTGGGGTTCATCGCTCTGACAAATGGAGGTATCAGTATTCTTGACTTGAGAAATATCTGGATTTACACCTAAAATTGAATTAGAAAGGATTAACTACTTACGGGGATCTGATTTAGTGACTGAGTCATCACTAATCATACTGACAATACCGTCAGACGGTGAAAAAACAAAATACTCCGAGCTCTGAATGGCATCTAACAATTTGGCCTTAAACTCTTTTTTTGACATGAATTCTTGTGGGGAAGGTACACTGGTTTTATATGTACTGTAGATCTGTAAATATAAATACGCGTTTAATGAACTCATTAAAGGGATTTATAAAAGGTATAAAATTAACTAAATGAATGCTTTAAATAGGCGTTTAAGACAAAAACAGCAAATTTAAGACCTAAGGGTAAGGTTCTACTGTGATTCATCATTTATTTAAACACAAAAATTGGTACAAATGGGCAACTAATCATTTATGCGTAACACAAATTGGTGAATTTGGGTGGGCTACGATAACGTCCTGACGCCCTAACCGAAGCAGATGGTTTTCTTAGGGGGGCACTCTTCAAACCTTTGACCTACAGATCTAGTCCATAAAGCAGTTGAGCTACGTCTGGAGGCGCTTTACCGTGATGACCGATGGACCTCAATAAGTTTACATGCCATCTATCCCCTCAGGATCCTGGAGCCCACATAGACCATTGGTTTGGAACGGAAGTTTTCCAACTCTCCTTAGTGAATGCAAAGGATCCACCAATCCGGATTAAGCCTCCACCAGGCATTTGCTTTTCGTCTCCTCACTTTCGTAAACAACACTTGAGCTACAAGAAGGCAGTGAGTAGGACTTCCCTGCTGGTGACAATATACACGTGACTATATGAGCGGTTGGGGAGAGCGGACTTTCTCCAATCTAGACTGTACCGTGGCATTTGGAGGCGCACTGTGAGCTACACTGGAGTATGACTGCAGCAGTGTTTCCCAACGAAGACAAACATATTTTTTCATGCTGCTTTTTCATAGTGGAGGGATTCATACTCCACCGTGGGCCATATGTTTCTGGTTGCCGAAGATATTATTTGAAAAGTATATAGCTAAAACCAATACTGCTCATAAAACGGCTGTGTGTAACCAGTTCCAGACAGTTTTTCATGATCAACCAGAATCAATGTAGGGCCTGTCACAAATGTGCGTTAGTTAAATGTGCCCTACCTAATCAGCACAAGACGACATTAACAAGAGGATTATCAAAGGAATTTGCGTAATCAATGTAGTAAAAAAGACAAAGCACAGAATACGGTTCGATAGGAGATGAAAAGGCATATATGAATTAGAACTGCAACTTGAGGTCTGGGAGATGGCAAGCGCAAAGGCGTCACTCAGACCGTTGAAAACACAATCTCTAGTCACTAGCCCCAGATATCAGACATACCCCAAACAGGTGGTCTGCATCTAAATACACAATTCAACATACGATAATTTTACAGACTGACCAAACACTTCGATTTAACCGCCACTAGCTATAGCCCGACTTATTTCTAGGCTTTGAAGTAGATGGTGATAGAACTTATGTAATACATGCCCCAACAACCACAGCTGATCAAACCATAGGCTCAACAACGGAGACACCGAATGATCAGCGTTTATACTTTCTATCTACCCAGCACGGAGATTAGTCCCTGAAAAATTAGACGTGATTTGTACGGGTACAACTATGACGAAGCTTAATAAAACTAACGATGGTATCACTTAAGAATAACAATCTTGCTTCCTTTAAAGGTAGCTGTACTTCTGCGTTGACATCAGATAATTGGCAAAAACTCCGCCAAAACATCTCAAACATGACTTGGTTTTATTTTACTCACATTCTCTCGTAATGCCTCCCTACACAGTTAAGGACCATCTGTAAAGGTCGTCGCCAAGGTCCCAGCTATGCGTTAGTAAAAATAATATAACACGGATTTTTGTTTGGAAACGTTAATGAGGCTCATGAATGAGCACATCACTGAAAATCCACAAAAATGGACAACGGAGGTACTAACAGAAATATATGCTTATACTTTCAGGTGTTTCGGGACTAAAGATAGGATTAATCAGAGTTGAATTTAGGAAGTAAACCATAAGGAACTTACAATATTAGATTTCTTTCGACCTTATCGCACAACGGAATTTAGAACAATGTTTTACATATCAAAACAATGCAGACTACTAAAAGATAGTGAACTTTTTGTTACAAAACTGACTTAAGTGAAAGACTACGTAGTTATGTGTTTATGGTGCATTTCCGACCCACACAACACTATATTGAGCGTTATGAGACTGCAAGTGTTCACTAAGCTATCAAGGGATGAACACTCGTCAAAACGTACCTTTTTTCCCAGAGCTGATAATGTTGTTTTTCCACCTAATTCAGTAAGGATGTTGCGTATATGTTCGAATGACATCAAGTGACACCCATTTTCTGATGAACGATTATTGGCAGGTTCATGAAGGCCTTCCACTTTTTGTCTCTTTAACTTAGGCTCATCACTTTTTAAGTCATTGGATGAATTCCTTTTTAATGTTGGTGGGACAGTATTAGTTGTTCTTTGTTTAAGTGGTTCCAATAACATCCACATCTCGTCAATGGTTGCTGCGCATATACCACGATACTTGGACCTCATGAAATTCTATTCACATTTAAAAGAACAAACGAATTACCTCAAACTTCTTCTTCTTTTGAGGTACATTACAATTGCCTCTGAGGTTTTGGAGAAGAAACTTATGTCTCTTAGATTGACAATTTCGTATAGCTGTTTCTACCCTTTTAATCCACTCTGACTGTTTTTGATCATTGTTACTCTTGGATGACTTGAGGAAGTTTGCTTTGTCATACTTCTCTTTTTCGGATATACATACACAGTGAGATCCTACTGAGAATTTACTTTAAGTGAGTAGAAATTTACATGAAGCCTACTCAAAATCTCTGTGACAGTCTACACACGAGACCGAAAAGCAACGTTTGGAAGCTTGCAGATGATTCCGTACATTACTTTTTTTAAGTGTAGCGTTGCATTGGGAACATACAAAGACAACCATGCCCGAGAGTAGCGCAACAGTTGATTGACGTTTCTCTATCTAACTTCAATTTCCAACTTCGAATTTCAAATACCTTGTCACGGGCTAGTATGAAGGAAATGATCAGTGAAGCCTATTTCCACAACCTTCTCAGTTAGGAGTGCGTGAAATGCTGTGTCAAAGGATTGTAAAAGGTCAAGGAATATTATGAGCACCGGTAATTTTCGGTCCCAGGAATATGTCTAACTGTCCCATGCTATGGAAAGACTGGATGCTGAAGTCCTGCCTTTCCGAAGACCGCGTTGAGCTTCATAGAGGAAATTGTTCTTATTCATATAATCCCTCATTTGTTCGTTCACAAACCCTTCCATTACCTTCTATAGTTTTAGAAGTAATGCGACTGGTCTGTAACAGGCTGTCCTTTCTATCTCTTCCTTTGAAGATTACAGAGAGAGTGGCTAGTTTCCGTTCAGTTGTTGGTTGGTGTAATTCCAGTGAATGCCTGGACAAGTCAAATATCTATTAACTGAGGGATTCTGTTCATGGCTTCAAGACTTTGGGGCGGATATTGTCACATTCCGGTGACTGTTCGGAATCAAGGATTTTAGTTTACCAAGTACTAAGAAAGGAGTAAGTTGGATATTCCATAGGCCGTGACTTGTCACTAGGTTTGAGTGATGCTCTAAACATGTACATACCTGGTTTAACAGATCAGTGAAGTAGTCGTTGAAGATCTTAACCATCACTAGGTTGGTGAAATTTTCGCCATTTGGACATTTGAGGGAAAGCACATCCTCATTCACAAGTTTTATCTTTGTCATGAACCTAAACAAATATTTGAGGTTTGTCTGTATTTTGGCAGCTAGCTTCAGCTGGAAGTGTCTTCTATCACTTCGAACTTTGGCACTGCATCTGTTTCTCGATGCCAAGTATGAACAACGGTCAGAATAATTCAAAGAGAACTTACGCTTGTACCAGGCTCTCCTCGCCTCACTTAACCCAAGTTCTGTAAATCAACATTATTGTTAACAATTCATTTATTCTGAATTTCCTCGTTTCATACAATTAACTGCCCATTCGTCATCGTACTAGTGACTGACATAAGTACAGGTTCATAGTTAGCGTTCCAATATAGGGGACAAAAGGTCGGAGTAATCACACCTTTATTTTCTCCAAAGTTATTATCTTCCGAGTCGCGACTCAGCTTAAAATAAGAAAATTTTCTGTTCTTCTCCTCGCCCCTTTTTCTTTATTTCTCTTTCTCAGTACCCTATACTAATCTTTAAATAATAGTCTGGATATCGTACCGTACATTGCAGAGTCGGAAACATCTAAAATTTTATGTGAAAAATTTTAGCCATCAATATGAAGCCAATGTATCTTATGAAATATTTCCGCAAGTGAACAACCTTTTAAAGAAAATATGTTAGCAATATTAACATCTTGATCTTGCCTGTAAATTGTTATGCCTCTTGTAACCTGTTAGTTGAGAATGGATAATTGTTGTTGTTATTATTTGTCCGTTGAGTGTCGTGTAGTCTTTCGACTTTGAAATGGATGCTAACATATACGGCCACTCCGCCACCTTTCTGGCGTACCCTATCGCTTCAGAATAGTCTTATGCCTTGCATGTTCATTTGGCATCTGCTATGTTAGGGGATAGCCACTTTTCTAGTAGGATAATGATCTGATTCATCCGAGAGCACATATTCCTGATTTATAACAGCTTGTCTCTTAGTTCTATTACATTGCTGTTGGGGCACTTGGTGGGTTTTCTCATTACCTGTTGACCCTCCGGAGCAACAGCCTTTATCAGATTTTTAAACGGGTTCAAACCGAGTTGGTCAGTTCCCATAGAACAGCTCACTGGATGTTTTTTGGTTGCATAGTGCATTCAATAGGCGAGGTCATCATCTTCTTGTTTTGCGCCGATGGATGCTGATCGAGCTCAACTGTCATTTGTGTGAGCCTATTGTAGAATCTTTTTTGAATGTTTTGTTTTTTGGAAAATCCTTCCATGTATATATTATATTTGTGTTATGATATGACTGACTCTTTCAGTTGACATTTTGGTACTCTGTTTGATTCCATTTTGAGATTTTATCATTGTATATTGTTATTATTTCTATATCTTGTACTTATATTGAAGTTTTTATGTTTGCTTCTGAACTGTACATATGTTGTTTAAATTTGATATTTAGTATGGCTACAGCCATATTTGGATTTGATACCGTAGCAGTACGGACTGGAAACACTTATTCTTCCAGAAACGGATACCCACCGCGGTAATTTGGATTTAGAAGGTCTAATATTACCGTTTTCTCCCAGAATTATTGTGTTCTTTATTACGGATCCGGGCCAGCGCGTACCAACCTGCACCTGTTGGAGCCGGAGTGAACTGCAAGGGTAGAAAATTCATTTATACCTATTTTAGCCTACCATGAAGTCACTGACAACTGGACTGAGTCATGTTGGTAGATGTAGGCTACCTGGCTGGGGTCCGCGAGACGAAAGTCACCAGCGGTTAGGGAACTAGAGTGACATGTCTCCAAATCGTTTGCAATGGCGAAGGTGTATCCACTGTCTGTGTTCTCTCAAAACCTAATCTTCTGGATTCGTCAGCACCTCTACCTATGTCTTTCTAAAATTAACTCGCTGAATTATGCTTCTTGAATAATGTCCTGGAACCCTAATCTTCTCTATTACCAGTAGTACTTCCACCATCTCTACCACTATGGGATTTGAATTGACAGTTGCGACTTCATGCTAATGTGGTTTGGCAACATGAACTGATGTACGTACATACGAAGTTCCACGTTGCATCTGACTGGCTGACTCACCATGAAAGGTTAGGCAGTACTCTGGTTATATATTTACAATTACCTAGTCCTTGTTTTGACTTTTTTCTCTCTCTTTTGACCCTTTTCGGAATCCTATTCGCAATGGAACATCCATGGCTACTCTACGCAAACTGCATCTTCGGTACACTCACGTTTATGTTACAGTTCACAACATGCGCTTTTCAATTGACACTTTCAACAAATTCATTCCTGAACTATGCAAACCACCCAAGAACTGTACTTTGTACCTTCTCTGTTTGTACTCATTTATTGAAAATATGGTTGCATCAAACTGTTCCTGTCAGTGACATTGTATAAATGAGCTATCACAAACGGACTCTTACTTCTAAGCTAACTTCTCTAAATTTACAGCAAATGTAGTACCATTTGAAACAATTCGATGTAGCATGTAAACTATGATGCTTCTTGTAACATCCTTTTACTCTAGAATAAATATATTATTATTAAGCTACTACTAACCAGTTTGGGCACGCGTTGATCTACCATACAGGCTGCTGCCCGTATTGACCACGGTTTGTCGTGCCTGTCTTGGATCGGGTAGAACAACTTAACCAAAGTTCTCCGAGATGTGAGGAGGATATCTTCGGCAAGTTGAGCCAACACAGCGGGAAGGGTTTCCCTTTTGCAAAGTTCTGACATTTAAAAAGAGCCAACATTTTGGCTAAAGTACCGTTCATTCCAAGGATTGCGTAGTACTTCTCCAACTGTTCTTGATCAAATGCAGACCTACTTTCCAGTGAGCTGCCTTCCGACACTTCAACATTAAATAAAATTAGTGAATTTTGTTTAACACGGTTTTCCTGATTTGTAACATCTTGCGAGTTGCGGTGTTGTCGTTTCTCATTTTTCACTTACCCAGTGCTCCGTACTGTTAACAGATATTAGGCGGCTTGCAACAACCTGCAGTTTCAGTGGTGTGTTGGTCCAAGTTATGGTTACGTTTATCGCTTGTTTCGATGGTTTAGTGCTGGGCGAGTTAGGTGTGCCTGTGGGGATTTGTAGGTTGATTTTCGCTGGAGCCTGTGGCATTTCTGATGCTAATTTTTTGTTCCGGTGATCCTGCACTGCGGACAGATGTACCAGAACCACGGACAGGAGTGGCTTAGCATGAACCCGTAGAACTCTCTAGGCATTGTAGTGTCGCAGTGACAATGAACCCATGTTCTGCAGAGGTTGCGTTCAAATGCAGAGTCATTAGTTTTGATTGGCATCAAAAGACGGTATAGTTATCTTTGTCGGATTTCTGAGCCATAGGGCGTCTTTTTCTCCCATACTTATTTTGCCTATTGATCTCACTAGAAGCAGGAGTCTGAGAAGTGTCGTCTTGGTTTCTATGTTGAAGAACTGGTGGTGCTTGGCTCGTGTAATCCGAATTGTGAACTCCACTCTGAGGTACGCTATCGAGTGACGTTTTGAGCTTTTTCATTACTTTGGAGCTCGAGACTGGGAATTTCTACTCACTAATAACCCTAGAATCCATACCTCTACTAGTTTTCCTAGCTGCCATAGCGTAAGTTTCAGCAACCCTATAACTGAACATGATGCCTCAGAAATTCAAAAACCAAAAACGAGATAAACTGAAGAGGAAAATACGCTAGATAGGAGTTTTGGAAGGAGGAAAATAATCGTAGTTAATATAACTACGAAGGAATAGAACCTAGAAGCCACCCAAAATTGCAAATTCAAGTTTGACTGTCCTAGTAAGCAACTTCGCGGGCATCCAGTAACTTTTGCGAGAGAATGTGTGTATGCTGCCGAAGCAACTAGGAAGATAGCAGTTGATTGAGGCAGCTAAACCTATCTCGCAATGGTTCTGACTTGAAATGACTCCGTTTGTCCGAAATGTTACTGAGATTATTTACCAGTGAATGGAGACAACGTTTAAGTCTGCATAATGATTAAATATCTCAATCCTGTTTCCAAAACTGGATTGTTTCCTGCGAATGTTAGGAGGTCAACGAAGTCAAGTCAACCTCGAAGCTCTTTCATTTAAATGTCATTATCATCGTAGTGACCTTTTAGAATGAAGTACACACGATGTACACCAGTGGTTAGAAAGTGATACGAAGTAGAGAAATTCGAGTTTGCGACAGTTTTGTTTAAATTTCCATCGGTCTATATAATCAGTCAGTGATGAGCGTCTACCCAATTCTGGCGATTTAATTATACCCCCTATTCGGTGTTTTCTGACTGCTACTGGTGTCTAGGTG